CCAGGGTGCGGCCGGTCAGGCACAGACGGCTCCAGCCTGGGTCCCTTCCATGGGGTCACAAGCCCCCCCACCAAACCTGCTCCAGCTCACTCTTTCATTTGACTCCTTTACCCCCCCCAGCACCCCAAGCAGTGCAGGGAGATGGGAAATTGAGTTCGTGGTCAGTCCGTAACAGCTCCTGTGTGGGCCCTTCCCAAGGGCTGCTGTTCAGGATAACCTTGCTCCAGCATGGAGTCTTCTCCAGGCTGCAGTGTGGGCATCTGCCCCGCCGTGCTCTCTCCTCAGGCTGCAGGGGGGTCTCTGCTCCGGTGCCTGGAGCGCGTCCTTCCTGTCCGCCTTCTCTCATCAGGGTGCTTGCAGGGCTGTTTCTCTCTTATTTTTCTCATTCCTCTCTCACAGTTGCTGCACAGCATTTTGCCCTTCCTTACCCCGGCTTTGCCGGAGGCACCGCCATGGTGTCTGCGGGGCTGGGCCGTGCCCTGCGAGGGTTGTCTGTGGGGGTCGGTTGGATCCGGCTGGAACCGGCTGTGTCCGGCACGGGGCAGCCCCGGCCCCTCCTCACAGAGGCCGCCCTGCAGCCCCCGGCTACCAACATCTTGAAACGTTAAACCCAATACACCAGACAGAAAGGAGAGAAAAAATTAAATTCAGTTTCAGTTTACCCTTGCAAATTATAATTCTGCTGCTGCATGTGCAGAGAAGTGTACGCACACTTGTTCAGAACCTGATTTTTTTCAATGAACTTAAGCTACTCAAAAAGTCTATTGAATTTTAGTTTATGCTGGTCTATGCTGAAGGTAGAGTGGTTTGGATTATGTCTTTGTACCCATTTCTATGAAGCGTTAGACTATGGTGAGATACATCATTGACTGAGTAATAGAGAATGCACAAAGGAACAGGAGGAGGGAAGGAGAGCAAGCAAGCTGAGAAATGATTGAGCATAGTGCCATAAAATGGGCACAAAGAAAGTTGCTTAATCTAGATAGACAGGGAAGAAGCATTTTCTTATTTTATTATCAATTGCTCTATATTTTTTTTTCCATCTCTAACCTTTTCCGTATTCTATGTAGATGTTCATGAATACTCCACTCATTTTGCAGTAATTTAGAAATTTAACTTACATTTGATGAATACTCGGAGTAAGTAGGAAGTTATGGATGGAAAATCCAGATGGAATTTTGGGAAGTTGCAATATATTTTGGAGTGGGAAAAAAAATTCTTGGCTGACATTTTACTTTTAAATTGACTATTTTTTTGTCAATGAGCATTCTGATTGTACGAAGAAAGTACATAAATATTACTCATTTACATTAGCAGTCCTTGTGTTGTCTTGATTGACTAACACCACTTAATCTCTTACTTGCCTTTCTAGATCGATTTGCAGTATTAGCAAACAATAATCTCCAAATTCTTAACATCAATAAAAGTGATGAAGGAGTATACAGATGTGAAGGAAGAGTGGAAGCCAGAGGAGAAATTGACTTTCGGGACATAATTGTTATTGTGAATGGTAAGGAGTAAAAATTGTTGAATTAACTTCTTGCTTTACTTGATTATCATAGCCTATTTTAAAATATATCAGCTTCTGAAAAAATCCTGATTAAACTGGTTAATATAGCTGTCATGTCTGTTTGGTGTTGCTTTCCTATAAATGCAATTGTTTCATATTTGAAAAAAATCTACTATACTGTGTAAATAGATTTCACTGCATTTCATTGTATCAGTGTATATAAATATGTAAAACCTGGATTATTGTTTTTAATCATTCACAAAACATTGACAATCACTGCAAGACTTTAGTTTCAGATTATAATATATGGTATTTCAGTTGACCCTGTATTTTTGAGTGTTTTGTCATTTACTGTTAAAAAAGCACACTGGATTTTTCATAGTTATTCACCTTTACTGCATTAACATATTTTATTAACTGTCCAAAATGTCACAGATACATTTTATTAAGATTAAGAGTATTACTTACAGATTTTTAACATTTTATTTTTATGAGGAGTAAAATATATAACGAGTTATCTGAAAAGTGGCGTTATACATTTTATTAGTTTATTATAAACCTCTAAGAAGGCATATGACCAGATTAAGACAAGATGGAGCATTTAGGTCAACCTCTCTCTTAAATTTGGATTGACCTGTTGAAAAATAAATTTCTCTTCATATATTGTCCAGAAAGGACACAGTTTGTAAAGGACGTTTTTTATCTATGCATTCTGTTTAATGTCAATTTTTCAATGAAACTACTTCCATCATGCCTGTTAGGTTCTGAGCTTTAAATACTTTGTCCTTGACTGGTCCTTCTCGGCAAACCCCAGTTTACAGAAGTCAGTATGTAAGTTGAATTCTCAGTTAACTTCAGGAGAAGGAGCAGATTCTGGCACAGCTATTATGTAATCCATGTAGTCAAGCACCAGTCTTTGAAGCAGAATCCTTTAGATTGCGGTAGATAGTATACAGACGGTGGCAGGCAAGTGGGTGATTATCCTATGTATTCTGATAGAATCTAACAGTACATGCCCTATGCACTGTGAAGCCCCCCTCCGATAAATTGCTTTCCTCTCTCTGCATTGTAGTGCTGCATTACCTCGACCACCGGTTATGTACAGTTCCAACAGTGCATCTGATAGCATCTAAAATGCTGAATGAGATTTTCTGCTGCTGCTATTCATGTACCTGGATATGTATCTACATTCTGAACACCTTTCACTTCTATGTAGTATTTATATGCAGTTGAGCTGAGAGAGCGCCTGTATTTAACCTAAAATGTAAGATTGCAAACTGTGGTCTGACTTCACATCATTTATTGGTGGATTATATCCACAAATTTGGTTCTTCATGCATTTATTATGAGTGTAGACAAGAATGCTAACACTCGCTCACCTCTAGACTTTAGTTCACAAAGTTGGGAGGAGGAGGAATTGACAACTGAGCTATTCTGATGTGGTTGCTCATGTGGAGTGGTATCAATTAAGAGCTATTTTCTGCTTCATTTATAGGAATACACAGATTTTCCTACATAAAGCTGAATGTATTAAATTTGGCCCAAAATAGTTTTTAGAGTAATATTGAAAATCAGAAAGAAAAATTGTAATGCTCTTTGGTGAAAAGGAAAACCTATGAATGAGTTGGATTCAGAAAATAAAAGGGGGGAGAAAAAAAAAATAAAAAATGGAACAGTCTGTAGGCCATTAAAAGCTACATGGCTGTATGTCCGCTGTGTCTCCTTTCCAAAAAATAAGCAATACTGCTTTCTTTGGAGCATAATCAAAGCTTGGCATAAAAAGAAAAGGTTATCGTGACAGTATTTGTAGGTAGAAACTATTCAAATTTAGAACTTTACTGTTTGTTTACTTATATTGCAATGGTGCCTACAGAATCTACAGAAAGATCTAAGATCTGTACAAACACATAATAAGAAGCATACAAGGTCTCTGAAGCTGGATAAACTGCCACTAAAGAACATAGAAATAGGGACACTTTAGGAAAACCGGCACATCATGTAACCCATAATTTTACAGTTTACAAATTTTAAGTTTTTGTGAGAGTTTGTAGGGAGAGAGGTGAATGTAGAGAAGGATGAGGTTAATAATTAAATCAATAATATTAGTCTTTGCTCTTACATATGTATTTAGGCTTTACAGTGGAAATACGTTTTCAGGAGGAATATGGGAGCTGATACTGTTGTAACTTTGCTGATTTATTTTGAGAGTTGCAGAATTCTCCATGTATGATTTTTCTTTACTGCAAGTAGTATATGAGTATGTTGCTTTCTAAATGTCTTCTGTATTATATAGCAATAGTTAATATTTATATTTCTGCAAATGTGATTTGTTCCAATTTTTACACAAACTTCACTCAAAAATGTAAACTATAGTAGAACTGTGTGAAATCCTAGATTCCCTTTTGCAAGAATAGTGCTGAAGATTTAATTAAAAAAGAAACTATTAGCTATTCTTTTACTCATTGCTCTCTATTTAGAGTATTATCTGTGGTGCAGGTGACCTATACATCCTCTGATTCAAAACAAAGATTTGAACTAAGACCAGCTCTTATGTGAACAAGTACTTTATTCGGTACTGTTTCTTTGCCTCTGTCCAACTGAAAAGGGAGGACAGAGAGAGGGGAAAAACATTTTGAGAGGTTGAGAGCACCTCAGCCTTACAGCAAACTGATGAAGACCCGTCTCTCAGAGGTAGATGATATGAGATCAAATCCTCTCAAGAAGAGGAGAAAATTAAACCTAGGATTAAACCTCTGATTCTTACATTTAAGAACAAGAGATAAGTTCCCTTGGGCCATTTTGGTCATAAATGAGTCATCATGTGGATGATACTTGCCTATAGAATGGTTTCTTGTGGTGTGTGGAGGCAAGAAAGATGAATCACCACTAGAACTATTACTATAAAATGAAGGATTAGACCTTGCAACCACCAAAATGATGAAAAGCCACTCCCCGAATGATTTAAGAACATGTTGCAAAAGTTCGTTCTTTCTTTGCCTGAAGTTAGGTAGCTGTACCCGTAGTTAGGTACCTAAGTAAATAGAAGAAAATTTCACAGTTGATGAAGCATTCCCAGAAAGAAAGATGAGAAAAATAAAATTTGACTTTTGGAAAGAAATAATAATATTTCATTTCATTGTCATTGCAGTATCTCTTGGAAGACTAAAGCACTTAAATAATGAGCTGAACCAAGACGTAGTCCTGTAGTTCTTAGTTGTGAGCAATCAAGAACCTGCTACTTCTGGCAAAGAATTGTTTCATCCCCTCATGTTACTGAGGATGTTTTCACGTCTAGACATTAGAATGAACTGCAAAATGGCTAAAATGTATTAAACGCTTTCTAAGTGACGTTTTTTCATGAGAGAGAGATAAATTGCCGTTGCACAACAGAGGGGTTTTGTATGCTGAGTAATGGCCCATGCAGTTTCAGATAGGAAAGAAGTGATCTGTGAAACACAGATTTCAGCACACCATAAAAAAGTGTGAAAAGTAGATAACAACATTTAGTTACTGATCGTTGATCATTCTTGCACATTATTTTTTAATAATTTGATATATTTAAGGTTCAGAAGCTGGAAAGGTTTCTGAAGTGGAATACTAAAGCTAAAATAATTTGGTGCAAAGCAGCAGAAGTTGATTCTCAACAGTTTGTGAGAAAAACCTATGGAAGTGCAATGGGAAGTCGGAAGAAAATTCATTGGGGTTGCCTGTTTCTCCTTCTCTAGTGAAAGTTAAAGCTAAAAAGGATAATTGAGTTTCTGTGATGTCAGGAAGTTCTTGCTAGCAGAGACCTATATTTTGTGACCCTCTAATCTTTTCACTTTCCTCTCGCTTTCTCTGACATTCCTTCTTTTCCAGATATCCTCTTCCTTCCAGTCTGCTGGGATTGTTTTTATTTGTTTATTTGCTTGATAGTTAATGGAAACAGATTTAGGATTCCTGTCTTAAAATTACCATATGAACAGAGATGTTAAATACCAGCCTGTGAGTTGTTCTGTCTTAAATGTTATTGCTATTTTTTCTATTGGGTAGAGATTGTCTGTGAACTGTTACAATTTTAGTAATAACTTCATCCCATCAATTAGAGACAAAATTTGTCATTCTCGAACACAATTACGTCCGTTGGGTTCTATGACATTAACCTTTTGAAGCTGGTGATACTCCTACCCAGGAAATATGCAGGAGTTCAGTAAAAAGAATTAAATATGCATAATCAAGACTACTATGTGCTGACACCTGTTTTAAAAGCACTGTCTGACATAAGTACATAGTTGTATGTCTGCTTCATAATTCAATGAAAGAGAAAAAATGTAGAGATACATTTTCATTTGAGATAGATAAATTAGTGCCCATCATAACTCTGTTGTGTCTTACACATGCTAGGTATAACTTCAGTCACTTTAAAATGATCTGTAAGAAAACTGAAGGACTGCTGAAAAAGACTTTTAAAAAAATTATTCTAGTGCAAAAAAAAAAGCTTATAAATGTCCTGATAATATTAAAAATCTTGTGTTTAAGAAAGGTAAAGAAACATTAGTAATAATAATTCATATTGTAACTTGTTCCCTAAGTGTAACCATAAATTCCAAATTATGCAAAGGATCCTATCCTGTGCTTCACATTTCTCTGGAAACACATAAAATAGTTTATTTTTCCATTAATAGGACATAATGTTTTATTTTTCAGTTCCCCCTGCAATTACTCTGCTACAGAAATCCTTTAATGCCACTGCAAATCGAGGAGAGGCAGTAACTTTGTTCTGCAGAGCCGCTGGATCACCTCCACCTGAAATCAGTTGGTACAGGTAAGTTCAGTTGAGGTCTATACATCAAAGCATATTGTTTTAATGTGTCGCGATTTTCTATCACGGTCCATTAAGCTGCAGAACCTTAATTTGTTTACTGAACTTTAAGAGCATTTGCTGTTCATTTCTGTTCTGACTTCTAAAGCTAGGTTCAGCAATAATAAGTGAATGAACTCAGACAAATTCAATTGCACTCAGGTTACCAGCAAGTGAGATAAATGCAAAAAGTAACTAAAATGCCATATTGACAGGATTTTTTCATATTTGAGCAGAAACAAATAAAGCTGGAGCAATGAGTCCATATCTCAAAAACAATAGAAGCAAAAATCTCCCAACAACTTTTACACATGAGTGCATTAGGTAAAAACATAATGCAGTTATGCAACAAAAAAGTATCCAACACAGATCAACAATACTGGTAACAAAGATAACATTTTCCCCATCTGTAAAAATAGATTCTAACCCTAACTATCCATTTCAGTGGGATTCAGGAGGAGATACGGCTTTAGACACCCCTAGGATACAGGAGTGTTTCATTGAATAAGTTTCAAGGGTATTTTATGTAATTTAAAAAATGTAATATGTTTTGAAAAGGGAATTGCTTTTAAAGTTCACGGGGGTTTTTTTGATGATATCAATGATATGAACATAGTATAACTGTGTCGTTTGGGAACACTTACCATATAACATTTGTAAAAATTTAAATAGCTGTACATTCTGTATTCTTCCAATGTTAACAAAGGTATGCATCAGTCCTGGGATAGAAAGTGTCTCAGACACCTCATACCAGTGCTCATTTCTATTTTAGACCTGAATAATTTGCATCTACTTACGTTATTGCAGATGAATTAAAAGGTCACTGAATTTTCAAAATGGACATAGAAGGGATTTCCATCAATTCTTAATCTCCTTTGGAATCTTTGAACAACATTAGATTTATTTTAAATGTTAGATTCCTTTGACTGACACATTTATCTTAACATGCCGTAAGTCAAATGTGGATTTTAATTTTTCTCTTGTGCGATTTGAATCTCAGGAGATGTTAAATAAATAAAGTTAACTCGCTAATGTGGCTTAGAATTCAAAATTTAGTGAAGGGGAGGAAAAAGAAAACCAAAATATGCAGACCAAATTAAAGAACTGATACTGAATTCAAACTAAGGTTGGATATTCTGATTATTTGATGTCTTTGAAGTAATTTTTTACAATGTCTGTCTTATCTGGCCAAAATTCTTAGGAGTTGTCTGAAATCTGGTATCCTAAATGGCCTTGTTGTGAGACAATCAACATTGATGTTTTATATTGTTAAGAAAGAATGCATAAATTTCCACAGTTTGTGGATACCTCTGTTTGCAGTCGTCGTCTTTTTTTTTCAATATTTTATAAATATTACAGAATGTGCACAGGCTATGTGTCTTGGAGAGACACTTACCTCTATGTCTACTGATGAGAGCCTACTGAAGGATTTTCCTTTGGTTTGCCAGCCTGTGAGGCAACTGACGTTTTTAAACCATTCATTAAATATCTTTTGTAAAGATTTTACAAAAGCTTCACAGGCTTGTGTACTGGATACTGAATCTTAAATGCAGAAGCTTCTGTTCTGTTCCTATTTCAGGAGCTATCTCATAGTGAGGAATATTGGCTGATGTTCCTCCCTTCCCTGTTTTTTTTTTTTTTTTCTTTTCATTCTCATTTTATTTTGTCTTATTAGGCTATAAATTCTTGGCAGTAGAAAATATTCTTGCTTTTTTATTTGCTGACAGTGAGAGGTGGTAAAGTGGTAGGTGGAAAAGGCCCCATGTCTCTGTGACAGGCTATTATTATTGATATGCAAACGGGAAAAAAAGATGGGAGGAAATAAATTTTTTTCTAGAGGAAGCAAACTTGATTCTAAATTGTATTCCAGTACTAAATTTCTGCATCAAATTTCTGAAGTCTCTGTCCGGAACTGTTCAAGTCCCTTTTTACTTACATATAGGTAGCCAGTTAAAAGGATTCAGAATAAGCTGATATCTTTTCCTTGTCCTTGGACTTATCTCACAGATATGTCAAGATAAAGACCTTAGTTTCTCGAATATTTCAGATGTCTTTTATTTAGAAATTAGACTGAGAATAGGAAAGCTAAATCAACATAATCTATCTTGATTTTGAGAAAAATCTAGAAAGCACTGTCAGCGGTAGGAAAGTCTATCAAAACTAGTTTATCTACTATTAATATGCTTGTCATCCATTGAGAACCTAATTGAATCAATTTATCAGAATTAATGGCCAAGGTGTCATATTTCCAATTTCATCCTGTTTAATGTACTTTTTGATGTTGAATGTGAGTTGGTATTAACCTCAGTTTTATGCAAGTGGTTTTGGTTTTTTGTTTTGGTTTGTTTTTTTAATAAGTGGAATTACATCTTGAATTTGATTAAGTATTAATGCTGATTTTGGAAGGCTTATAACCTTTGGTTACAGCAAGTTATGGGAATCGTGTTCAGTTTTATTCCCAACTGTACCATTTATCTATGTGAGTTCAGTCATTTTATTTAATTTGCCTCAGGTTAACCATTTGTAAAATGGGCAGGTGTAATAAAGTGACTTAATGGAAGTCTGTTTTCTGAACCCATAGCTATGCTAAGGAAAAAAGTCTAGAGAGATGCGAACTGTTATAACAGAGAATAGTGTTTCCTTGTAAAACATTCAAAAGTATACTGAGCTTTCTGAAGAGCTGTGGAAAAGCTCTGATAAAAAGGGTGGGAATGATTTCTACTCCATTATGCTGGAGGATTTTCATTATATGGTATAGAAAGTATATCCATACCTGTTGAGATGATTCATCAGGATTAAGGACCTGTTCTATACACAGTTCAGTGTTCTCATGTCTTGGTTGCCTTTTAAAATGGGCTCTGACACCAATTATTCTCTCCTTCACTCTATTGAAGTTTCTTTAGCAAGGCCTGCATAATTTGGATCTATCATTGTGTGGTCTTACCTTCCTTACAATCCACTGATGTTTTAGTCAATTAAAAAATAAATTATCTTGATTTTCTTTTCTCTTGTTTCATTTTTGGTTTTCAATGAACTGCTTTAACAGGTCAGCTTCAGCTGGGGCGTGAAAATGGCTGTATTTTAAAAATCAGACGACAGTACTGTTGAGGTGGCTTATATATCCTTCTGTGTTGACTGTAAGCAAGATGCTGGACAAAACAGTACTTTAAAGCTTTAAACTCTTTAAGACAGTACCTGGTGTTGTAAAGCTTTAACTATTTACGTCAACCCTTTTCATTTCCAGGTGCTGACAATGTTTAAGATTTTGTCAATTTAAAATGGAGGCATCTGAACTAATGTGGCAGTGTTTCTCAAACAAATGCTTTAGTTCACTTACAAATTAGTCAGTTTGAAATACCTAGTCAAGAAGGAAGGCTAGCAAGGTTTAGTTGCTGCTCTATTTAATATGCATATATACTTTGTTGGTATTTCATGGACCGAGAGAATCTAATTCTTTCACCACTTGACTGGTATCTCTGTTGAAGCTGATATTACATTAATGTGAAGCATAACCTTCAGAGAAGCAATACGTTAATAGAATTAAATTAGCCAGGACTGAAAGATAAAGATCCAAATGTACAGGTCATGAACTGGAAATCTTTACTAATGTGAATAGTCCTACTGAAAACATGATGATTGTTTACATCTGTGGAGATAATTCGCACTAGTAAAGTTTAGCTGGATCAATCCCCTTATCTTTACTGACAGGACTTAGAATTATCTTACAAAATAAGCAGTCTGCTTTTAACGTGTTATTCATGTTTTCCTGTTGTCCAATATCAGCATCAATCTGAATCTCTCCTGTTCACTAGAGGGTCCAGGGAAATGCTCATGATCTGATTTCTGCTTAAAAATTGTCATAGATACAGGTGATGTTTGTGATAACAGGCCTTTGGAAACTATTTCTGACCTTGAATATAGACTTTTCTCTCCTAACAGAGATCACTTGATTTTTTTTGTGTGTGTGAAACCACCTATGTGGAAAATTAGACCTTTTCTGTTCTGCAAAACAATTGCTATGATTTGCTTTGGAAAGCAGATGAACAAGTATCACAATAATGTCTTAAAGTGGACAGCTAAGTGGACTAGAGTTTATAAAAATGTTACTAAAATGTAAGCTATATAGATGCCAAGGGAATCCTATTAGCAGATATTAGTGTTCCCAAGAAAGAAGAGGTATTCTTGCTTTCAGGGAAAATATTATTTTAGAAAATATGAAATATATGTACTTACCAGCATTATGTAAGAAGTGAAAATCATTGTTACTCAAATCTTAAAATAAAACTAGATGTCCTAAACTAGACATATCAAATAGATTAGAAATGAATATTTCAGTAATGCATAATGGTTTCATTTTACAAATAGTTTGTTTTCAAGAAGTTGGCATTGTCAGCAGGATTATCAACGCTTATGAAAATCAGGCAGTTTTTATGTAGGTGCTTATGAGAAGGAGCTGTTGATGATTAAACAGAAATAAGATCAAAAGAAACCTACAGCAAACTAAGCAGAATAAGAAATAAAAAAAAAAAAAGTTAGAATTACACTCTTGAAAAAGAAACTGTTTTGATAACTGTGTGTATGCCAAGGTGCTCAAAGGGACCGGTCAAGCCTCGGTCAGCCCTCAGAATTGTTCACAGCTTTTATTACTTCTGTACCATCTGGTCAGAACTCACTCTAACATCTGGAGTCATGCCTTGCTGCTAAGTTGTGGCTAGCCAACAACAACTGAGAAGAAACAATTTCTTCTCATGAAGGGTTTTTTATGTGCCAATAGGCTTTATGTGTATGTAATTTAAAATATTTTTAATAAGCTGGTACATTGCTACTAACGTGAACTGCAACAGTTACGCTTAGAAAATACACTTTTAAATGTTTCACACATAACAGTGTGTGTTTGCCTAACCGATTTCCTTCTATCCTTCCTTGAGTGTAAGCTGTATGTTAAGAGTTCTACTCACAAGCATTCTTCTAATATTAAGTCAATATTGAACATTTGAGAATAAAGATATTATAGTGTTTTTGATACGCATATATTTTAGAATGTGACAATAAAATTGTGAAGCTGGATCTTGAACATCAAAGTGCGGTTTAGGATGCTTTGCTAGTGTCTGGAATGTACGCATTTTTTCATAACATTGC